TTACTGACATGAGGTAAGCAACTATAAACACATCATAATTTACACAGGAATACAGTTATACAGGTTCATTAACACTGCATTTGATAATGATTATGTAGTTATTCATGGAGGACTTCCTGGTGCCATGTGCTATGTGTATTATATAGTCTCATAACTCTTTTAAGGTGGTTGAAACCACCTTAAAAAGTGAACAGTTTTAGCTGGCAAAGAGTCTGATATTCTGTTTACTCTATATGCCCCCATCCAAAAAAGCTATGTTTCTCTAATATCACTCTATACATGACACATTTGCACAGTATAAACAACAGTACAGGGAACTGGAAAACTGTTCTTCTAGGGTCAGATAACAAATATGTTAGGCTTTAGGGACATACAGGTTCTGTCAAAACTACTCAAACTCCAGGGGATATAAGGGGGATAAACGGTAATGGAGCCCAGGATACAGTGGCTCGGTGGATTAAGTTTTGGCCTGCAAACCAAAATATTGACAATTTGGTTCCCCATCAAGGCACATGTCTGGGTTATATAGGCCAGGTCCCCAACTGGAGGCATGTGAGAGGCAACTAGTCAAGGTTTTTCTCGCACATCGATGTTTCTCTCTGTCTTATTCTCCTTCCCTTCCCCTCTCTCCAAAAATAAATAAATAAAATCTTTTTTAAAAAGGTAATGGAAAAAAAAACATTTAAAAAAACTATTTGACTCTTATCTTGTGACACAAAAGCAGTCAAAGACAATACATAAACAAATGAGCATAGCTGTTTTCCAATAAAAGTTTATTTAAGAACACAACTCTGAATTTCATATAATTTTCATGTCGTGAAATAGTGAAATAATGTCATGAAATAGTATTCTTTTGATTTAGCCATTTAAAAATGTGAAAACTATTCTAGTTCATAGACTATAGACAATAGGCTGGATTTGGTCTGTGAGGCTTTGTTTTGCCAACCCCTGTATTATAACATTAATTATTAAGCAACTAAAGATCATAGCCAGTTACTAGAATTTAAGCTCCACGGGAACAAGAAACTTGTCTGTTTTCCTCCCTAGTATTTAAAACACTTCGCTCAATATATATTTGCTTAATGAATAAATAGTCATCAGGACAGCTAAATGTGCAAAAATTACTGGGTTGGCCAAAAAGTCTGTTCAGTTTTTTTATACAAAATAAAAGATACATATTTCATTTTCAATAACTACTTTATTGATTTGTATATTCTGAGTATGTTGGCTATCTCTCACTATTGGATTTTAGTGGGTAGAGAGGCCAGGGGTGCTGCTAAACATCTTCCAATGCACAAAATAGCCCCAGAGAAAAAACTATTTGGCGAAAATGTCAATAATATCAAGAAACTTCGCAAACCACTTTTGACATGTTCCTGGCAAACTGTACCTCTAGGGTCATGTTCCATTAGTCATAGCACTTTCTCCATGTACTGCACAAATCTTTTTTTGCTTTTAAGCTTCATTTTCACCTTTCTTGAAATAATAAAGCATAATACACTGAAAATACTGTGTATGTTCTTCCATTCAGTATTAAAATGGCTACACAAAAATTCACTAATTTTGATGTTTTTTAAAATGCACAGTGATATGACAGCTGTCAATACACTCTTAACAAAATTGTTTCAAACAAAGTTCAAGACAATTAAGCACCACTAAAGCCATTGTACAGGAAAAACTAAATGAATTTTTTTGCCAACCCAGTATCAGTATGTGGTATCTTCCAACACCAAATATCATGTAGTCAATTTAACTAAAAACCAAGTACTCAGCAAATTAACTAAGAACTTCAAATAAGATAACCTAAAATAATAAACTAAATCATTAGAGACATTAAAATGCATATTAAAAACATTTATATTCTTAAAACAAAAAGGGAAACAGTAAAGAAAGAACTGTTTTTGGAAAATACAGAAATTTTTGAAAGAATCAATAGAAGTTCTACAAAAATATCATTGAAATGTTTTTAAATATATAAATGGACAGATTAAACTGTAGGTTAGATAAAGCTGAAGATAAAAGTGAGTTAGAAGATACATCTGAAGAAATTACTTAAGAATGTTGTATAGGGATCTCCTGTTATCCTTTCTTTTTACTTTTATATATAAAATACAGATTTTGGAAAGAAAAACGATGGCCTTAATATGGTGGATAAAAGTTCTGGGAAGAATAATGTGGAAAGGAAACATCCACAAAGATAATGGCTGATGACTGAGATAGATTCTAAAGAGGCACAATGAGAGTTCTGGTCAAGATGAAGGCATAGGTAGAAACCCCTCACTTACTTGCACAACCAAAAGGAGGATAACAACCGATCTAAAATCAATAAACAATCAGAAGTGCCAAAAAATCAAACTGCACGGAACAACGACAACCAAGGAATTAAAGAAAAAATCAATCAGAACAACCAGACCAGTAAGGCAAGGCAGCAGATGGCCAAGGAACCTACAGGCGGAGATGCCTGAGAACCTGCAGGTGGAGCTGCCTTGCCACTTAGAACAGTAGCTGACCCCATGGGCTGGGCTGGTTGCCCCCAGGCAGTTGGTGCTGACTGAACAGGAAACTTACACTCAGCTGACTGTGGACTACGGTGGCCTTGGTGGAAGAAACTCCCAGTCTCATACTAGACAGTTTGTAGGAAAGTGCGTTAGAGCCCAGCAGGTGAGCTGCATTGTTCCCTCTCTGACCCCACCCCCACAGGCAGCAAAGCAGCACAGCCAGGAAGGTTGCCCCACCCTGGTGAATACCTAAGGCCCTGACCCCTTACAACTTAACAGGTGCCCCAAGACAAAGAAATGGGGCCCAAATGAAAGAAAAGATCAAAACTTCAGAAAGAGAGCTAAGCAATGAGAAGATAACCAAGCTATCTGATGGAGAATTTAAAGCCCTGGTAATCAAAATGCTCACAGAACTGATTAAGCTTGGTGGTACAATGAAAGAACAAATGAAAGATACCCAAAATGAAATAAAGCAAAACATTCAAGGAAACAAGTGATAGGAAGGAAACCAGGACTCAAAGCAACAATTTGGAACAAAAGAAAAAAATAAATATCCAATTAGAACAGAATGAAGAAACAAGAATTCAAAAAAATGAGGAGAAATGTTTGAACCTCTGGGACAACTTGAAACATTCCAGTATCTGAATTATAGGGGTGCCAGAAGGAGAACAACAGCAAGAAACTGAAAACTTATTTGAACGAATAATGAAGGAAAACTTCCCCAAACTGGCAAAGAAAATCGACTTTCAAGAAGCCCAGGGAGTCCCAAAGAAGTTGGACCCAAAGAGGAACACACCAAGGCACATTATCATTAAGTTACCCAAGATTAAAGACAAAGAGACAATTGTAAAAGCTGCAAGAGGAAAAGAGACAGTTACCTACAAAGGAGTGCTCATAAGGCTATCAGACAATTTCTCGAAAGAAACCTTACAGACAAGAAGGGGCTGGAAAGAAGTATTTGAAGTCATGAAAGGCAAGGACCTACATCCAAGATTACTCTATCCAGCAAAGCTTTCATTTAGAATGGAAGGGCAAATAAAGTACTTCCCAGATAAGTTCAAGTTAAAGGAGTTCATCATCACCAAGCCATCATTCATTATATGTTAAAAAGACTTATCTAAGAAATTGAAGATAAAAAAATATGAACAGTAAAATGACAAAACTCACAACTATCAACAAATAAACTAAATAAACTAAAAAAATAAAAGAAAAACAACAAAAACAAAAACTACGCAAACAACTAGAACAGGAACAGAATCAGAGAGATGGCTATCATATGAAGGTTTTTCAGTGGGGAGATGGAAGGGAGGAATGGGGGGTTACAGGAAAGAAGAAGCATAATTTGTAGGCATTAATAGATGGGGAGAGGTCAGAAATTATATAGGAAACAGAGAACTCAAAGAACTTATATGTATGACCCATGGACATGAACTAAGGCGGGGGGAATGCTGGAGGGTTGGGGAGTGCAGGGTAGAGAAAGGATAAAGGGGCAAAAATTGGGAAAACTGTAATAACCTAATCAATAAAATATACTTAAAAAAATATTAGCAACTAGCATCAAAGCAACAAGCCAATGTCTCCCAAAAAAAACAGTATTTCATCAAATCTAATAAATTGTTATAAATGAATTCATCATTATTGTAGTGCAAAGTATTTGCAAAATATTTTTGCAAACTAAACCTTGTCATGAAATTATAATATGCATCTAGAGTTCAAAGATTTCAAATGTGAAAAAAATGTGTATCTCAGACTCAGTATGAACAGAATTCCTATGAATTAATAATATTTTAAAGACCAAATAGAAAAATCAGCAAAAGATATTAACTGAGTTATCAAAAAGAAATGAATTATACACATAGGAAATGTGTTCAACCTCACTCAAAATAAAAGAAATGCACAGTAAGACTACATTGAGATACTATTTTTCACTGTAATCAAAGCTTAAGGAAATGGGAACTCTGACATTGATGATAAAACTGTCCATCAAGTGTAACAAAATGAGAAATGGATCTGTACTGATACAGCAGCTTTACGTCTATATTCCTACACATATACTTGTATGTGTGCAAAATAACCCACAGAGAGGGCTAATTTACTTAACATTATTTTAGGGAGAAATAATTGATAACATCATAAATTAGGGGGTATTGGATAATAATTATGCATCATAAAATAAAATATCCTTTGAAAAAAATGAAAGTACTCTTAATAAACTCTCATAGATGATTTCCAGATATATTAATTTTTAGAAAATTAGAAAAAGTGGGTAGGATACTACCAAATGTTTAAGTATAAGGGGTTAAGATAAGAATATATATTTTTGTTTTAAATATACAATATCTGATGGGATAAATAAGAAACTGGGAACACCGTTTGCCTCTGGGATAGGAAAGAGAGTGGCTGGGACTTACCATTTAAAAACGTTAACATTTTCTTTTGATATATTCATTTTTAAGTATTTAACCTCAAAACATTTTTAAAATTAAAAAAAGCAACACTTGCCTTTTTTCCTTTTGAGGTTGCAGAATCCCCATCTTCATCTACACTGAGTAGATTTGCCTCACTACATAAAAAATAAGGGGGGAAAAATAACCGTAAGTGGCAATTATAACCCATACATTACATTCAGAGGTTTTATCCTCTTTGCTCACCTAATACAATAATTCAAGGACCAGCAAACTTTTTTGTAAAGGGTCATAAAGAAAATATTTTAGCCTTTGCAGGCCATACAGTCTCTATAACAACTACTCATCTTTGCCATTGTAGTATAATATCTGCCATAGATTATATGTATGGCCATAGTCTATTAAAACGATGAACAAAAATCTAGTAGTGGGCCAGATGAGGCTCACAAGTCATCATTTGTTGATTCCTGCCATAAATGAAGACAATATTGATTTTCTTATACATGCATTTCATATGGTCACTCATTTTTACTTTCTGTCTTATATTTATAATTAGTGGGGAAGGACAGAGAAACAAGTAGAGAAGAAACAAACTGGTAAGAAAATTTTAGCCAATGAAAAGAAGTTATTTCAATAGTACTACCACAGTAAAACAGTTATACATCTACTACTTTGAAGGAATTACCGATCCTTTACTGAGAATCACTGGCCTGAGATTCTAAAAGACTAGACTGACACATCTATTAATAAAAAGTTCATTTTAACCTCAACATGTTCAAAAGCTAAAGCCCCTAAGTATTCAATTATAAATAATGAACCAAAGTATGATTCATAAAGCATACAAGGCAGGTAGCCCCTTAAAACACAATTTTTTTACATACCCATAACAAATCTTCTAACAAAGCAACTTAAAAAATACACCTTCTGAAAACAACTCTAAGCTATTTTTAGTAAAATCCTATTTATGATAAAAATGTAAAATGTCTGTTTCATTACTGTTTATATATGTCAGCTTTTTTAATGCTAAAAATTCCAAATATTTTACAAAAATGTTTAAAAGGGGGTATACTTTCTATTCATCTTAATTTCAGATTTAATTCAAATTTTTCTAAACTTCATAGGTACTAAATGTAACAAATTATTTTAAATTTAAAAAAAGGAAATAAAGGACCATATTATACCAATTTTAAGTGAGAAACTTCCCAGTTATAATCTCTCCTTGATATAGAACCTTTCTCCAGTTCAGTATCTCATAGGTGAAGGCACATAAAGCAGTAATGACAAATGGAGCTGTTGCCCAGATAGAAGTGAAGCACCTACAATATTTAGCAGGTATACACTGGATGACTTCTTGTGTAAAATTTCTAAAACATATTTACAGTTTTGGAAGAACTGAGTGTATATATTTGTGTTTCTCTAAATTTGCTAATTGTTCTGGTTAGGGGGAAAACCATATCAATAAGCCAAGAAACTAATAGCAATGCTGAATTTCTAATACAAACCCTGCGCAATGTAAAAGGTTCTATTGAATCCATTATTTAAGATTTTTCACAAAAGTAATTCCTAGTACACTAACAACTGTAATGAACACTTTAACTTCTGTCTGGGTCAACACCTGTGTTTATCATTTATAGTGTTTCTGCCTCCCCTGGTGGTAATCTGATCTTAAGATCGGTGTGGTGGTAGGGGCAGTGCATAATTGGAAAGAAAGTTACTCCAGGACTTGAACTTTGTATGAAATTCTGAGGTCTTAATATGGGTTTACTTACTGATAAATGGTGGCCTTGCAAATCACCGTGTTTATTTTTTTAATAAAGAACAATTTGTTTAGTTGGAAATCTGCAGTGTGGTTGATATTCAATCATACGGTTACTTGTATTACATGCATATAGCTATACATTTCAAAAGATGGAGAAATAAAACAGCAAAATTATTTACCAATAGATAATTGCTTTTTCTTTCCTTAATGCTACTGTAAAACAGCTCAGTATTTTCTTAAGAATACCATACTCTTAAAAATACTGATATGGAATATAAATTGATTTTCTAACAAGAAGTTTCATTCTTATAAAATATCTGAGGGGCAAAAAATCTTACTCTTTTTCTGTATCTCCTTCACTTTCTTCTCCATGGTCAAAGCTCCAATTATTTTTAAAACCTCCATGTCTCTTAGATTCTGATCTACTCAAAGCTGAAATAAAAAGAGGTAAGTATTCATTAAAAGAGTTATTAAATATAAAATAAAATTGAGCATTCCCCACCCTCTTTGCTTAGTCTAGATTTTGCTTGCCTTTATTTCTTATAAACACCTCATTTCCTCTAAAGACAAAAAGAACACATTAAAATATGTTTCTGCTAATTTACAGTCATGCATATGTATGAATTTGCTAGAGAAAGAAGTTCAAATTAGTACAATATAATAAAAATGGGGGACATATGGATATGTATAAAATATCTTTAAAAATCAACCCTGTATCTCCATGACTCATTCCTGATTCTAGAAATTAGTGCCTGTAAGTTTGCTGACCTTATTTATGAGAACCATATCCATATCACTAACCTTTTCTTTACCTCCATCACCTCTGCCTTTTAATAGAAGAGAAAGAAATCAAAGATTTCTGTGTTGGCATTATAATGAACTTGATTTGTTAACAACAAAACCAAAACTCTATTACAGAACACCAAACATCTACATTATAAGTTTTAAAAATTTTACGAGTACATGGCTGAAATTCCATGAAACTGTTCATTGGAAAGTGGATATCAGAAGAGTTATGAAGTTGTCATTTGAAGCCATGTGACAAATGACATAAAATTCTAAAGCTGTCATTTGAAGCTATGCAACAAACACCTGATGGCCTAGAGCCTAGTCTTGTTTTATATTATTTTTTCATGGCTGTTCGATTACAGTTAGAGCCTCTTTTTTAAGATCAAGTCTGGGGTCACAGCAAGATGAGAGGTCAGACTGAAGACCAGAACGCCTGAAGGGCAACACTTCACTTGAGTGAACTAGGGGGGAAAAAAAGAAACTCACTTAAGAAATCAATCATGGGAATAATAATGATGTCTTGCTGTTGGCTACGGATGTTTGGATTCAAACAAAGACAAAGTATACCCACATCATGGTTAGGGAATTCTCAACTATTAAGCTCACAATTACTCAGTTTGGGGACCAGAAGTTTCATAACTTACATGGCCCAGAAAAGCCCATATTTAAGTCTCACAAGAAAAGGTGCTCAATATCACTAGAAATAAAGGAAATGCAAATCAAAACTATAATGAGACTAGTTCACACCCATCAGAATAGCCATTTTAAAAAAACAGAAAATAACTATTGACAAGGATGTGGAGAAATTGAAACTCTCATGCACTGCTGGTGGAAATGTAAAATGCTGGAGCTACTGTGGAAAAAGTTTGTTAGTTCTTCAAAAAGCTAAATATCAAATTACCCTATGACCCATCAAATCCAACTTCGAGGTATATACCCAAAGTAACTAAGGGCATGAACTCTGATACTTACTTGTACACCAATGCTACAGAAGCATTATTCACAAAGCCAGGTGGAAACAACCCAAACATCCATCAACAAATGAATGGATCAACAAAACGTGCTCTGTACACACACACACACACACACACACACACTATTCAGCCATAAAGGAGTAAAATTCTGATACATACTACAACATGGATAAACCTTGAAAACATTATGCTAACTAAAATAATCCAGCACAGAAAGTCAAATGTTGTATGATTCCACTCTATATATAAGATACTGATAATAGGCAAAGTAGAACAGCAGCAGCTAGAGGGAGAATAAAATGGAGAGTTATGTTTTAATGGGTTCAGTTTTTGTTTGGAATGATGAAAAAGTTCTGGAAACGGACAGTGAAGATGACTGCACAACATTATAAACACAATGGCAATCCACAACTGTACACCTAAATATGGTTAATATGGTAAATTCAATGTTATGCATATTTTACCAAAATAAGAAAATGTTTGTAAAGGCAAAAAAAAGACTAATGCAATCAGATATAAATCTTTTCTTATTAAATGGGAGCAAGGTTTCTCCCCGTGAGAGAAAGAAGTTACAAATAAGCAAGAGAGAATATCTAGAAAAAATAGAGTTCATCAGAGTAAGAGATATCACTAGGAGCTCATATTCACTAATTATATGCAAATAAAGACACAAATATAGATATGTATTATATCATAGTAGTATACAGAGCTAAGACTCTGTCCTCTGAGGTCTAGCAGCAGTGATAAACAAGTAGCAACAAGTATACCTATAACCAAATCTTGCTTTCTATAGCATTCTCCAATGTAAGGAATCAGGGCTCCCAAAAGAAATAACTGACTCTAAGGAGGAAGAAGGAAAAATACAAGACAAGCCCAGAGTATTTTATAGTACCAGAAAGCAAGGAGGTGCTTTTTTTTTTAATTGAGAGAGAGAAACATCATTTAGTTGTTCCACTTATTTATGCATTCAATGGCTGATTCTTGTATGTGCCTCACAGAATACTGAATCCACATCCCTGGTTTATCAGGGATGATGCTCCAACCAACTGAGCTATCTGACCAGGGCCAAAATGAGGTATTTGCATAATACCTACACATAATCCTCCCATATACTTTAAATGGTCTTTAGGTCATATAATAATACCTAATATAATATAAATACTACCTTTGTAAGTAGTTGTTATACTGTGTTGCTTAGGAAATAATGACAAGAAAAGTTTGTGCATGTTCAGACACAACCATGGTAGGTCTAACCACATAGTACATATCAACAACAAGGCAACTTTTTTCCCCCGAATATTTTCAATCCATGGTGGTTGAAATTGTGGATGCAAAACCTGCAGATATGGAGGGCTAATCGTATATACATTCTGAAAAAGGAAAAACTATGGAGACAGAAAAAACATCAGCAGTTTACATGGGTGAGATGGAGGTAGGGAGGAGCTGCAGGATGAATAGGTAGAGCACAGATGTTTATGGCAGTGAAAATACTCTGATACCAGAATGATACATGTTAGCATTCATTTGTCCAAATGCATAGACTCTAGAACACTAAGCATGAACCATAATGGAAACTAAGGACTTTGGGTGATTATGATGTACCAATGTAGGTTTATCACTTACAACAAATGTACCACTGTGGCAGGGATTGTGACACTGGTGGAGGTTATGCACATGTAAAGATAGGGGGTATGTGGGAACTCTCTATACTAAGGGTGTCCAACCTGCAGCCTACAGGCCACATGTGGCCCAGGATGGCTACAAATGCGGCCCAACACAAAATTGTAAATTTACTTAAAACAATGAGATTTTTTTGTGATTACATGTCACAATGTCACGTAAAATAAATGTGCATTTGCTCTCACTATCTGTGTGCATGCATGGCTTCAGTTTTACAGAAGTATGTAGCTTCCAATGTGTTATCTTCCAAGCACAGACAGTACATTCACACCATCAAAACATTACATGTACTTGTGATAACTTAGTAAGGCAGCAATTATCAATAATATTTCAACCTACCATCACAACATTAAGCCTTTAATGTTATTTAGAAATCAGATAAGCATGATTATTTGATTATTAAAGGTTGATTATTTGATTATCACACCTCAGCAACTCCTCACATATCTCCCACCATGCTTTACAATCTGCCTTCTGCTTCACCCAGCATTGGTGGCCAGGAAGCCTACGTTCTATTTCCTGTTAATTAATTTTAATAATAAAATAAATAAAATCCTTTACTTATTATTTTTTAAATCCCAGCATGGCTTCTACATTTCAAATAAAAAAGAAAAATCATGGATGAGAGATTGTTCAATAAAAAGCAGACTACTACTTTTTTGTCAAGTAAATACTAAGGCACTATGCTTAATTTGTAGGAAATTTGTGCGTTTTCAAAGACTATAATTTAAAAGGTAAAACATGCAAAAAACATGCTGCCAAATTCAATGCACATGAAGGATTGTGTGATGAGGACAAAACAGTGGGACTCATAAAAGTCTCTCTTCTCAACAAAAATTTTTTCAAAAAGTTACAATTCTGGCAGAGTCCACTGTAAAAGCTAATTATGTGGTAGCTTATTTAATAACAAAAAATGAAAACCATTTACTAATAGTGAATTTATTAAGCCATGTATAGAAAGCATGATAGGTATAATTTGCCCTGAAAAAGAAAGGATATTTCTAAAATCAGTTTGCTCACCAGCTAGGCAGACTAAAGAAATTGGTAAATCTATCAAAAGAAGTTTGGAGAATAAAGCTGTTAATTTTAAATTTTATGCTTTGGCAATGGATGATAGATAGCACTGATGCTACAGATACGGCTCAATTTGCCACTTTTATTAGAGGTATTGATGACGAATATAATATCACTGAAGAAATGGTTTCTTTAGTGCCATTAAAAGATAACTAAACCAAGAGATTTATATGAAGCAGGGAAAAATATGTTAAAGCGATTTTCTTTGTCCATTGTCAACGCATCTGGTATAGTTACTGATAGTGCCCTGGTGATGGTAGGTAAAAGACATGGACTTGTAAAATTAATAGAAGACAATACAATTGTGGCCCAAAATTCATGTTTGATAAAGTATCACTGCATAGTATATCAAGAAAATTTATGCACAAAAGCTTCAAAAATGGATAACGTCATGTAAATCATCATCAAGACTGTAATTTTCATAAGAGCCAAGGGATTGAATCATCATCAGTTCCAGAAATTCCTTAAAAATACTAATGTTGACTATGGTGACATCATTTACTTTTCAGAAATAACATGGCTAAGTCAAGGCCAAATGTTGAAAAGGTTTTATGATTTGCAACATGTTATCAAGTCATTTATGGTATCAAAAAACCAATTGTTGCAGAACTTGACGATGAAAACTGGCTTACAGATTTAGCATTCTTAGTGGATTTAACCGCTTCAAGGTGAAAACCAACTTATTAATACCACGTTTCAAACTGTAACACTATTCCAAATGAAACTGAAATTATGACAAGCTCAAATTAAAGCAAACAATTTTATGCATTTTGACATGTTGCCAAAACAGAGTCCTGTGAACAGTGAAAAACATGAAGCCCTGCTTTCATTTTGATATAATAATTTGAAAAGATTTAAAGATTTCCGGAAAATAATCAATATTTTGCTATATTTGTGACTCCATTTTCAGTCTAC